TGTTTTCGAGAAAAAGATGGCTTTTTTGGTTCAAACCATCGTTTTGTCCAGACAAAGATGGTTGTTTGGAAATCTTCTCAGCGCAAACCATTTTTCCTCGAGCAAAAGATGGTTTTTCAAACGATGGTTGCTCAAGAACCCATCAAAAATCATCTTTTCCTCGAGAGAAGACGGGTTTTCATGACAAGATCTCCAAAAATCATCTTTTTCTTGAGAAAAGATGGTTTTGAGCACAAAAGCACCTTTTTCCCGAGACAGCCAAAAAACCGTCCGTCGGAGGCTCCAGCCCCATAGTTTTGGAAAAGATTGTTTTGTTTTTTTCCCGACAAAAGATGATTTCTGGGCGTGTGTCTCTTGGTCTGGCGGCCACCCACGGTGGGTCCATCTGGGGGGGGGGGGGGGAGCGTATACATATATATATATATGTTTATGTATCTATATATATATATATATATATGAATTCTATATATATATATATGAGTCTTATATATATATATATATTTGTATATATATATATATATATATGAATTCCCTTATCTTCCCCACAGGTCCAAGAGGTGCATGCCTCGATGGCCGCCTTCGGCGCCCTGCTCGCAGACGGCGGCGTTGTCACCTGGGGGAGCCCGTGGCCTTGGTGACTGGGCTGTTGGGATTTGGGGATTTTTGGGGTGTAGGGTTTAGGGCTGGGGGTTTGGGGTTTAGGGGTGTAGGGTTTAGGGCTTGGGGTTTAGGATTTGGGGTTTAGGGTTTACTCGTGGTTAGGGTTTAGGCTGTCGGGTGCAGGGTTAGGGAAACGGTTTGGTGGCCAGGACTACTTTGGGATTTACGGCTTTTCCCCAAACAGTCTACTGTGTTCTAAATTCATTTAAGGATTGCCGACATTTTGAGGACTGTTGCCAGGGTTCCTGGACTCCTTGTCTCCTTTGTCTCCTTTTGTCTCCCTTTATCTCCCTTCCCTTCATGTGGGTGGCTTTGCCAGGTTGCTGTGCTCCTCGTCTCCCTTTGTCTCCCTTCGTCTCCCTTTGTCTCCCGTTGTCTCCACTGTTTCTTTGACGTGCCTTTGACTGTTTGGGGTCTTCGGTGGTGTAATTTGCGTTGAGCGTTCAAGGGTTCAGGTGTTTAGGGTTAGGGTTCAAAGGGTGTAGCGTTACGGGTTCAGCGTTTTAGTGTTCATCCTTTTCCGCATGCGAAGTGTACAGCTCGCCGGGACTATGCTTTGGCGTTTGTGCGGTAGGCCTCAACCATCTCTATTGGTGCCCTAAACCACATAAAACCATGCTACACCCCTTCCCCTTAAACCCCGAAACCCTAAACTCTAAACCTTAAACCCTATAAACCCTATAAACCCTAACCCGACCCTAAACCAATCAGAGAGCGTTAGCATGTCGACTTCATGAACAGACCCGAGGTTCGGCTCTCACAGCGCGGCGGTGCGCGAGCACTTGCAGGACGTCATGCAGATACAGGCGGCGCTGTAGGATTTAGGGCACGGGGTTTATAGGGGTTAGGGTGTAAGGTTTTTCGGGTTTACGGATTAAGTTACTAGTAAGCTGTATATTCCCTTTGTCACAGAAGGAAGCTTGTGGGAACAGCACACAGGCCTAGCTCCGCCGTTATGGCTTAGGAGCCTCCGCATCCTCCCTTTCTGTTTTTGTGTCCATGAACCACCTTGCAGTTCGAAGACGGCAAAGAAGGATGTTGAGCAGGGGCGCTTTGAGCCCAGTCTGCGAGCAATGTCGACGAATCCTAAGCCTGCACTAAGTACTAAATAACTAAAGCTTCAACCGAAGCTAAACCTTGGCTCCCTGAACCTCGAGCCTGCTTGACCAGGACCCCCCCCGTTGCTTCTTGAGGTTTCCTTGTAGACTTCTGTTCCTAGGCCACAGGGGACTTAGGGAACCCAAAGCCCTGAACCCCCAGACCTAAATTGTAAACTTCAAACCCAAAGCCCAGACCCTCAACCCCAAACCCTAGGTAGGACGCTGGTCTCAGGCGTTTCGCCTTGGCTTTGCTGCCCTCCGCTCGGACGGGCAGGTCGTGGTCTGGGGTGCTGGCGGCTTGGTGGCATGGGTTTTGGGGTGAGTTCAGGGTTTAGGGATTCGGGTTTAGGGTTTAGGGTTTAGGGGGTATCATATTCAGGGCCCACATGATAGACAAGTAAGTAGTTGAACTCATAATGTCACTTTGGACGAGTGGACGATACAATGCATACGACACCTACATGCATACATGCACGCACCTGCACACATGAGCTAGTCAGATTGGGCTGTGCCTACAGTTATCATGCGACACAGGCAAGGCTTCTCATGAGCAGTTGGGCGATTGCTTTGACCACCGCTTGCCCGCGAATTATCCCTTTGGAGTTCTTTCTGTTGCTAATTGTTGCCCCGGGAGCACCTCAGGCCTCTGAAGCCCCAAACCTTAAGGGCAGAAACAATTGCCGTTGAGCATTGTAAAGCCTAAACCCTATAAACAGTCTGGATGGAACGGCTGACTCAGGCATGCCTTGCATCAGCGACCCTCGAGAAGAGCTACATGGAGCAATTGCATGCATTCGGGTTTCGCCTCAGCCCACCTTCATCGCCTTCACCCTGAACAGATACGCGACAGTGCCCTCCCCTACAGATGTCAGGATTGAACATGTTGGGCTTTAGCGGGGGGGGGGGGGTCTTAGCGATTCGTGTACCACCGCGTTCGTGAGTGTCACGGAGTCAGCCATGCCACTGCAGCCACTGCACGGGGGGACTTAAGGTTGAGGGTAAGCGCAGACGTCTGACATCTGCAAGCCGCTAGGCTTTGAGGCCCGCATAGACTAACAAAGAAAGCTCACAACAGTCAGAAGCTTTGTTGGGTTTTCTACGATAGTGATTCCGACCAGACGACCGTCTTTCGAGGCCTTACTAGATCAAGGGGTTGTCACCGAGGTTTCGGCAGTTCGCCAGCACCCGGCGAGCTCGCTTGCGGGCAGCCGGGCAAGGGAACGCGACTTAGGTTCCCTAAACCCCGAAACCTGAAACCTAAACCCCATTTAGGGTACATGGCGCGGTACGGCAAGCATGCAACCAAAAGCATGCAACCCCAACCTCGAAGCCCATATTTCAATCGCGAAGGCCTAACCCCAACATGTATCAGGGCCTCAACCCTACACCCTAGATCCCTGAAGGGTTGAGCGCAATAGGACTGCTAGCTTAGGGTGGTGTTTACCCTGAAGCTCCATAAAGCCTTTAAGTTTTGAATTCGCCCCCCCCCCTCTCCTCCCCTCGCCCCTGCAAAAATGGACTCTCAACAAATTTTGTTTGTTGAAAGGCTAGTCGTCTGCAGGTTTGAGTACGTTTCGGGCATGATCTATCGTGAATTAGGGCTTACAGGGTTTGTGTGCGCAAGTTAGGGCTCTCCGAACGGATGCCGCCTCCGGATTGCAAGCTGGCAGGACCTCCGTCTAGCCAGCCGAATTTTCCCAGGATGGGCTATGACTTTTAGTTGGCCGGGTCGTATCCTCATCATGAACCCTTTGAAGAGCCTCTTGACCAGAGAATAGGGCATGATAGCCCATGAGCCCAAAAAAGGGCCTGCCTTTTTGAAGCAGTTACAGTTTGTAGTAGCCCATCCTTGTCCCACGCAGAGGAAGGATTCCGAAGCCTGAGAGCGCGCAGCATGCACGATCTGGTGTGAAGGCGTTTGGTTTAGGGTTCAGGCTTTGTAGGGTTCGGGGTTTAGCAGTTTAGTGGGTTACGGGGCATGCTTCCACTAGAACCAGCAAAGCGTAAACCTTATGCAACCTGACCAAATAGAGAGAAGCACCATGCTGCCCCGAACGAAACCCTGGCCCCTACTCAATACGTAAAACCCGAGGCAAAACCCCTATAACGCCCCACCACCTAAACCTGCAGCACTGCGGCTCAATCCGACAATCCCGACGGGATAGGTGCGGGCTTCGGGAACTATGTCGTGGTGTAGGGTGCAAGGTTTGAAGCGAGGTTCGGACTTCGGGGTTGAACAGGGCTAGGTTCGAACATACTTTCAAAAGAAAGTGTATCAAGCATCCCTTCCATAATCCCCATAAAGCTTTCCAAGCCTACCCAAGTTGTCCCTAGCTCAGCCTTGTATACCTAGAACAGTTGAACCCCAAGCTCCCCAAACGACCCCTCGTGTCAGGCGGAGCCACACAATCAATGTCAGAGTGCCACACCCGTGTAGATTTCAGAGCTTAGAGGGCTTATTAGGGTTCGGGCACACCCGAAACACCCTAAACCCATTGAACCCGAACGCCATGAACCTTTGGGCTCAGGGCGTTTATGTTCAGGGTTGGGGAATTTGGTGGCGCATGGGTCTCCCGCGTGCCATGCGCCTTTGGACATGGCTTCTGCCTCTTGGCCCGAACCCTAAACCCTAAACCGCAAACCCGAAAAACTTTGGGCTTTGAGGTTGAGGGTAACCCCCAAACCCTAAACCTTAAACCCCAAACCCCAAACCCTAAGCCCTAAACCCTAAAACCTAAACCCTAACCCTAAGCCCTACAGGCAGGTGCCGCTCATCCCTGGGTTGAGGGCTCAGGGAGCCCCCCCGCCGAAGCCCTTCGAGTCGGGCATTCCCATCTGGTTTACGATATTAGGGGGTACATTCTTGGGGTCCTTGATATACGGGGATCCTACTAAGTTACTATTTGTGGTTTATAAGGGTATCCTACCATTTGTGGGGTCTGTCTCGGGGTCCCTCATTTGCGGGAACCCCCATCTTGGCCCCCTCCCGCCGCATTTTGCGGGAGCGGAGCCGCATGTCCTGTGAGCGTCGTCAGCAGTCATCCAAGATTAGCAGCATGCAGTCGAACTATGACGTACTCCAGCATGGGAAAGCAAGGAACAAGCAAGCAAACAACAAAACCCCAAACCCGAAAGCCCTGAACCTCAATCCTAAACCCTAAACCCCAAACCCTAAACGCTAAACGACCTAAACCAAACAGACACAGCCTCCCCAGGATCGGCGCTGCTTCGGTCGCCGCCATGGGCATTGATGCGTGCCTCGTTTCCATGGATTTCGCCTGAACCCTAAACCCTAGACCCTTAACCCTAAACCCTTAACCCTTACCAAATTTCAATGTTTCTCGTTCTTACGTAAGAAGCTGGGAGTTCAAATTATAAGTTGGCCCCTGTTCTGGGCAGCTATCAGACGAGGATGGGGTGACAGGTTTGCAAGAGCAGGAGCTATGGGGAGAGATTTCGGAATTGCCGTTCGAGGGAGCGGAGGTCTGAGACAGGCACAAAAGATCAAGAAAGCTTCTGGCTTGGACAGCTGCTAAGGGTTTTGGGTTGAAAGGGGTTTGAGGTTTAGTACCGTTTTTGTTTAGTAGGATTTAGGGCTTCGGGCCCTAAGCCGGACTGTTGAGACGCGGGGCCTGCTTTTTGCATGCTTCCATCCAGCAGTTCGAAAGGGTATGTTTCTCCCGCGATGTGGGCCAGGCAAACCAGCGAACTCAGCAAGACTGCGTAATGATGTAATCAGGATGGTTTGGGAGGGGTTTAGGATAAGCGGTTTGCCGCCCTCCGGGTCATACCAACCGGCCTCCCCACTAGCTGGAGTGCCCGCAACCCTAAGCCCTCAACCCAAGCAACCCCAAACCCTTAGGGTCTGTAGGGCTAGGGTTTAGGGCCTTAAGCCTCAAACCTCTGCAATCTCCATCGCTGTGAGGCTGCGCCGTGTCCGCACTCTCTTGGCGGAAGTGGAGTCCAGCGCCAAGGCACGGGTCTCTTTGGTTTCTTAAGTTCTTGTGGTCCTTGGGCTCATCGTAAAACTCACAGGGCTCTTAGCATTCTTGAAGGTTGATGCTGAGCCTAATGCAAGCCTTAGCTAAGCCTTAGTAGCACCTTAAAGAGGGCTTCTGAATTCCCTCAGTTTTTTTCCGTGTGGTAGGAGCTCTTCGAAGCGGGACGACTCGATGCTACCGCAGCCAGAGGCCGTGTGGAGATTTTGCTGGTGCAGCTTTACATCGGAGTTCTGAGTGCCCTTCGGGCCTAGTTTCTTCTAGAAGTCGAGTCCATGAAGCCCAAGACAACCTTCCCCAGGTAAAAAAGCTTGAGTGCCCTGAATCTACATCCCCCAGCCCCCCCCCCCCCCCCCCCCCCCCCCCAACCCCTAAATCCTAAACCCTAAACCCTAAACCCTTTTGCCCCTGAAGAAGCACTACGGCTGCTTCGATTCCCAGTTCAGCTACAGCCCAGAGAACCAAAGCGTACATCCTAGACCCTGCCACATGCCCAGCCCCCCAAGAAAATCCAGGCACATTCTGGGTCAAGCCAGTTCCACACACGCTTAACCTGAAACCCAAAGCCCTAAAGCCCTAAAACCCAAAAACCCCGAAACTGAATCCCTAAACCCCTGAAGCCCTAAACAACCCTAAACCCCCTCACCCTAAACCCTAAACCCCTATAACCCTACTGTAAACCCTAAACCCTAAACCCTATAACCCTACTGTAAACCCTAAACCCTAAACCCTAAACCCCCTCACCCTAAACCCTAAACCCCCATGAACTCCCCAAAGCCTCCAACCCAGAGTTCCTGTCCGAGGCCTTGCGACGGCCCTGGCGGGCGCGGAGCACAGGCTTGCCAAGGACCAGAATCTTAGGATTCCGGGTTTAGGGTTTGGTTTAGGGTTTAGGGTTCTCTAAGCAGTAGACAGTGCTTGCAAGCGACCCTGAACAGTTTGCAGGTGTTACAGGCTTTCAAGCTGCCAGGAGGGTCTCAAGAGTCCTTGCAGCAGAGCAGCAAACTGCTAGATCTTCCGGCATTTTTGCACCACCACCACCACCACCACCACCACCACTACGACTACTACTACTACTACTACAACTACTACAACTACTACTACTACTACTACTACTACTACTACTACTACTACTACTACTACTACTACTACTACTACTACTACTACTACTACTACTACTACTAGTACTACTAGTGCTACTCCTACTACTCCTACTACTACTACTCCTACTACTCCTACTACTCCTACTACTCCTACTACTCCTACTACTCCTACTACTCCTACTACTCCTACTACTCCTAACTCCGACTACTCCTACTACTCCTACTACTCCTACTACTCCTACTACTCCTACTACTCCTACTACTCCTACTTCTACTTCTACTTCTACTTCGACTTCTTTTACTTCGACTACTTCTACTCCTACTACTCCTACTACTCCTACTACTCCTACTACTCCTACTACTCCTACTACTCCTACTACTCCTACTACTCCTACTACTCCTACTACTCCTACTCCTCCTACTACTCCTACTACTCCTACTACTCCTACTACTCCTACTACTCCTACTACTCCTACTACTCCTACTACTCCTACTACTCCTACTACTCCTACTACTCCTACTACTACTCCTCCTACTACTACTACTACTACTACTACTACTACTACTACTACTACTACTACTACTATGAAAATTGTAGGTTCTCTGCGAAACTTTGCTATTGAGCAAGCGCCCGCAACC